AAACTAATACAGAATCATATTGTAAACTGTAATTGAAAAATTTAAAAAAAATTAGTCAAAAGATTTTTTTTGCTTAGCTCAAACCACATTTCTGACAAAAGTAATTAATGCTTCCTATTTCTGAGAAACCCAAAGCTTTGTGAAATATTTAAAACTTGAATCCTCATCTGTTTTTTCTATGCATCATCTCTTGTCAACAAAAACTTTTTTTAGGCTTGCACAGCTGAGTGAGAGATAACTAGCTAGCTTTTTCACCTCGGAGCTGGCAAGGAGAAGCCCACCTATGGTTACCTGGAGCCTAGCTCAGTTTGAGCTCAGTAAGAGTCATCCATTTACTTCTTTCTCAAATTTGTTCTGAAATGGGCACACAAAAAAAAGGTCATGGATAAAAGGAAGGAACACTAGACATTTCATAGTAAATCTGAGCAATTTTAAAGCAAAATTATTACCTAATGATGTTGCCTCTTCATTGGACTGCCAAGCCCAGTGTGGAAGGAGACAGACTGCATTGCTATTGCAAAGTTAACCCAAGAGTAATGACTTTTCCTTTTCTTGTGCAAGCAAATAATTCTTTCCTCCACTAAACTGGTTAATTGATAAACTCCTATACTGATATTCTTGATGTGCTTAACCTGATAATGATACATCTACATCTTTATTAGTGCAATCATATACTATTTCTTTTTCTTTCTTTTTTTTTTTTATCCTCACCAGAGGACATTTTTCCATTTTTCTGTTCAGATAGAGTGGGAGGGAGAGAGAGGAAGAGAGAGAGAGAAACATCGACGTGAAAGGGACACATCGAGTGGCTGCCACCCGCACGACCAACCAGGGCCGGGGACAAACTGCAACCGAGGTACGTGCCCTTAGTGGGAACCGAACCCGGGTCTCTCTGGACCTCAGGCCGACACTCTAACCGCTGAGCCAAACCGGCCAGGGCTCATATACCATTTCTTAAGGCGATGTAAAAAGTAGTAGACCTAAAGGAAAATAGAAACTTAGAAAAATATTTTAAAAAGCTGAGGTCATATATGAACACATAATCAAAGGCCTCTCTTATTTGTTAGAAGAGACAAATTTAGAATAACATTTCTATACTGTTAACATTCAGCACAGTATAACTTAGTCAGAATTTTTCCTTGTCATTTATTTTCACTCATCTCTAAGTCACAGAAAATATGTAATTTGGTTGATACTTTTGTTGTATAGTTTTTTTAATATCAAACATCCTTCTGGTTTCTGAACTTTTTTGTTGAAGAGTTCATATTTAAAGACTGGAAATATAATTTGAACTAGCCCTAAGAATAACCAAGAAACAATTTCTAATAAAGGAGAAACCCAATTCAAAATAGAGGTGTTCAAATGATTATTGACAGTAAACAGTCCCACTCTTTTCTCCTTAACTTTAAGGTTCACATGTAATTTCAAGGAGACAGCAAAATAAAGTGGGATCATTATCTGTCATCAAATGTTTATCTACTGCTTGCAACTGAACTTGAAATTCATGGGAGTTTACATGAGAAATACAAGCCCTGGCCGGTTTGGCTCAGCGGTTAGAGCGTCAGCCTGCGGTCTGGAGGAGAAATACAAGACCACTGTTGACTTGAAAAAGTTCATAATTGACATAAGGAAAACAAAAGCAAAATTAAGTAATAATTAAACTCTGCTGTATTAGATAGCTATTACAAGTACATTCATGTTCAAAGATCAAAGATAGAAATGATATATTTCACCTGGCTTTGTTAGAATAAACCTTCTCAGAGATGACAGGATATTGCACTAATCCTGAAGAGAGGGATTTAAAAAGTAGGTGACAGTTTCATGCTGATTAACCTGGAAGGCTCTTGACATCATTGCAGCCTCAAAGACCAGGAGTAGAGACATTGAGGATTTCAAAAGCTTAAAATATGATTGTTGGGCAATACAAGTAAAGTGGTTAACCAGATGTGATCAGTGGGATGTTTGCCAGTGACTGTGAAGAAAGTGGTTTGTAATATGGAAACTATTAAAAATTTCTTGCGGCAGATTCTCTAGTGCTTGACTGCCAATCCTGGATTCTCTGCTTCTTACCCCTTTTTCTGTCTTCCTTTCCCTATTTGAAAACTGAAGATGCGAGAATTTTTCTTATCCTCTAAAAAGAATCAACATGAGGCCCAAAAGAAAATAAGCATGAAATGTTTTGAAAGCTGCAAACCTTTAAGAATGTTTTAATTCATATTACATTACTCTGGTATTATGACTAAAATGTTATTGCTTTGACAAACAGTAAATCGTTCAGGCTTCCCAGCTATCAGTGTCATTTTCTGGATTGTTTTATTATAGCTTGGTATAAAATTGCACTCTGCCCTTATTTATTACCTGAACACAGTGTAGGTAAGGCTTCCCTTTAAATTGGTTATAAAAAAGCAATTTCTTTTTTTTTTAAGATAGAGTGGAAGGGAGGGAGGGAGAGACAGAAAGAGAAAAACACCGAAGTTTTTCACATAGATTGATTGCCTCCTGCATGACCCCAACTAGGGCCTTGGATTAATGACCCAGGTAACCCTTGACAAGAAAACGAACATGCAACCTTTCAGTCCATGGGCTGAAGGAAACAGTTACTTTTAAATAGTTCTGCCTCCTATGGTACTTGGTGCTGTCATTCTCAACTGCAGGGAATCTTGGACCATCCACAGTCCTATCTGTCTTTGCATAAGACCCACCTGGGGGATGCCTAGACAGGAGCCAGACATGGGCCATGTGCCAAAATAATTTCAATGAGAACCCAGGTTAAGTTACAGAGTGCTTCCTGATTAGGTTGGGCAACCAAACAGTCCACTTCTAGTGAGGATTTTCTATTACCTGCTTGCCAGCTGGAAAAATATTTTTTTCTTTATATTCTGCAAACAATGCATGTTAAGTTTGTGCAGAGTAGCAATGAGGTGAAGCATGACATCTCTAAGAGTTTCAAGAGGAACTGGAAATCACATCTCATGACCCTTCTCTGATCTTAACATTTAGTGCCATAACTAATTCATATGTTCACTTATATTTAAAATAGGTTATTTGGAACTCACCTAAACACACACTCACAGACATAAAAATTTAATAACCTGTGTCATCAAACTGTTTTCTTCTTCTCACAGTCTTATTATACTGTGGTTTATCCCCGGTAGTTAAGTTAAGTTTAATTGTCCAAAATTCTAATCACATATTTGAAGTCTTATCTTATCCACATTAGTGAGGTTTATCTTTTGTCTTCAGATGCATACTAATCTCTAAAAAGTCAATATAATAAATCTGTAGGCTGTTTTTCCAGATTACCGCTCCCCCAGAAGGAAGAAGGATTGTATTAGCTGAGTCAGATATGATGTTGATGGTACCAGGAAGCTGTGCAGAAGAGAGACCTTCCCATTTAGCTTCCCACAAAGTGAAATCAAACCTCTCAGCCTTCCTTGACTAAAGAATTTCTTAAGTTTCCTTCTAGACTAAGTGTTCTAAAGGTCTATGACACCTCTTCCTTGCTCACCAATGGAAGTAATGTCCCGCCAAGGAAGATGAGTGGAGGAGTTTAATAAAATCCCTCAGAGTCGTAGAGGACAAGAAAAAGAATGACGGGTCCCTGATTGCCATTATGTTCACTGATTGCCTCTGCAGACCTGTGAGGACAAGGGTCTTGAGAACAATCCAAGAGAATAGTTAGATTTTTATGAACGAAAGCCATGGTGCTATTCCAATATCATGGCTATGTATGCCATGGATTTAGACATGTAAAAGACCTGACCATTAAAACTTCAGTGATCTAACTACTTCCACAGATAAAACAGAGAGAAAGGAGAGGCAGAGAAGTCTGGAAGTTACCTCACCCCTCAAATTTAAGAGGCAGCTCTGGGCTCACTCCAGACCAGAGCAGCGCTGCTGAAATGGCCTTGGTCCCACAACTGATCATAAAATCAGATGGCTCCAGAAGCTTGTGTATGTGCTTCACCCTTTCCTCCCATGAAGTTGTTTGAGTGAAGCCAGAGTGGGTGCTGTCTTGCCACCAAATTGATTCAAATCTCTAAACCAAACTTCCCCATGAGCCCCTCAAACCCATCAGCCTCCCACAGCTTCTCCAAATCGGGCCAATGACGCACCTGGCTGAGGAGCCATGCTAGAGCAGCTGGGTCTCCCGGGCATCACTTTCACCTGCACTCACCCCACCCCATCCCACCCCCAAAGAAGAACATATTCAATAGTGTATTGAACCACAGAAAGCAAGGGCAGTATGCTTGCTGAACTACAAGTATAAGATTTCCTGTAAGCACACTTGATTTTGGAGCTTGTCCCGGCCACTGACTTAAAGTGGGGGGACAGATATTTTCATCACATTATCTTGGCTTCTAAAATTGGCTGAAGTTCTAAGAATAATAAACTAATTTGAGAAGCCTAGAATGACCCGCCTGCAAGAAGAGGTAAGGCTTTCAGTTTACTGCAATTCTAAATCAGGGCTTACATTTCTTGAGTAATGGTAATAATAATAATGATGATATATTAGGGTTAAGCATGATCAAAAAGTCAAACCTCCTGCTACTTTAGTTCCAGTCTTCCTCTTTAGATGGAGATGAGGGGCACCTCCTAAAGGGCTCTGTTGCCCAGAATCTGGTCTTCACTAGCCCTGGCTGGCCCAGAAGATGAAATCTCCGCTGGATTGCCCCTCACCTCCAGCAGGAGCAGCAGCTCCATCCAAAGTCGGGCCAGACTACCACGTGCTCTGAGGATCTGGTGCAGGCAACGCCTCCCAGCCACCCTCCTCCCCAATTCCCACTGCCCACCCCCTCCCCCCACTAACCTCCCCCGCCCCCTGAGTCCAGGGAATTTCCCAATCATCCCAAAGCTTGAGTTTCCTGCCTGGAGCAAGGGGCGAATGCTAATATAAGGGATTCGTAGGGCTCGGAGACTCCACAGTGCTCTGGAGTTTCAAATCCTCGCGCCGCCTCCTTCTTGAACCCGCGCCTTCTTGCCGCTCCCTCTTCCCGGCTATGAGTCTCCTGCCAAACCGCGCCGCCCGCGTCCCTGGCCCTTCGGGATCGCTGTGCGCGCTGCTGGCGCTGCTGCTGCTGACGCCGCCCGGGCCCCTGGCCAGCGGTGAGAGCTCAGAGCCCGCGGGACGCAGCGGCAGAGCGGTGCGCTCCAGCCTCTGCGGCGGCCTCCGCTCCCGGGGCGGGAAGTGTCCCGGGCCATGCTTGCTAGAGAAGAGCTTTCTCAGCAACCGGCCTTATAACGGTGTTTCTTTTTCTGCTCCAGCTGGTCCAGCCTCGATCGTAGTGCCAGAGCTGCGGTGCGTATGTTTAACCATCACAACCACGGTTCGTCCCAAAATGATCAGTAATCTGGAGGTGATCGCCGCAGGCCCACGGTGCTCCAACGTAGAAATTATGTAAGTCCTCGGTGTGGTGTCCGTGGTGTCCACTGTGACCTTGGCCTGAGTCTTCACCCCCTGAGGGTCATGGGTGCATCCTCTTTTTTTTCCTGCAGAGCCATCTTGAAAAACGGGAGGCAAATCTGTCTGGACCCAGATGCCCCTTTGGTCAAGAAAATCATCCAGAAAATTTTGGACAGGTACCGGGGACGTTGATCTTCGTGGTTTTTAAATCTCTCGGGGTGTAGCCTTTTCAAGATCCTTATTCTCTGCATGGGTTTGGCTACCACATCCCAGCCCATTCTTTAAAAGGTTGTTCAGAAGGAAAGGGAATGATGTTCCAGAACGCCCTGGGAAAATATCATCAATCTTACATGTAATCCCCGAAGTAGTTCCCCAGAAGTCATGACTAAGATGTATATATTTTGTTAGTATAGTCCTTGAGTTCACCCTTTGTTCTTTATTGATCTTAAGCTCTGTGTTTTGAAAACTAGTCGGAGTACAAAGGAGTGTGGAAGTTTGGTTAAACTGATACAATATTTTCTCAACAGTGGAAAGAAGAAAAATTAAAAGAAAGGATCTTGCATTGGAAAAACTGCCCTGTTCTTCAGCAGAGCGGTTTTCTGGGGATCTCTGGACCCACTGAAGACAAAAAGCAATGGCTAATTTTCTCCAGTGAGTTGGGTTGCCTCATGAATTCCTCCCTTTAGAGATGAATGGGAGGAGGGACCTATGTTTGTCCCTGCAGCTTTCTGCTCATCTTATGAAGTATTTTACATATTATTTACTGTTATTTATTCGCTGTTATTTTATCTGCTGTGCTATTGAAATCTTTGGCAATTGACTAAATAGTGAGTCAAGAATCACTGGTTGTTACTCTTTCAAGGTGACTAGTTTATTTCTAGAATATGTTCCCTAGAATGTTACCGAAAAGATTTAATAGGTGAATGATACTTCTTTAGAATGCTATATATGAAGGTAAACTTTCATCTCCACTCTTCTTATGAAATTGTAACTATTTTAGTTTATTTCTTGAGGAATATATTAGAGAATTTCCTTACTCTTTATCCTGGGATCCTATTTCAGTTATATTGCTTTAGAAAGCTAGGCACATCATAGTTATCTGTGTAGAATATATTTCTTTATTTAGAATTTCTAAATGTTTAAGTTCTATAAAGAGAGATATATTATTTTTCTATAACTGTAGACATTTGATGTCTTCTTGGTATGACATAATGTCATGACTTATTCATTAAACTTTGACTTTTATATTGTATTTGTTAACTATTTTATTAGGAGTATTACAATTTTAATTGCTAAATATTTGCTTTGGATGTATAAGCTAAGGCATAGGTAAATTCTTTATTGCTAGTTTTTAAATAAATACATTCTCTTGGTTTTTTTTTGGGGGGGTTAAGAATAAGGCAAACTTGCCTTGGTCAGTGTTGCTAAGTGGTTAGAGCATCCATCCAAAGACTAAGGGGTCATGGGTTTGATTCCGGGTCAATGGCAGTGCCTAGATTGTAAATTCAATCCCTGCTGTTTGGGAAGCAACCAATCAGTGTCTCTTTCACATCAATGTCCCCCCTTATCTCTCTCTTTCTCTCTCCCCCTATCTCCCTCTCTTCTGCTTTCTAAAAATCAATGGAAAAAATATCCTCAGGTGAGAATTAACAACAACAATAATGCAAACTAATGATCTGTACTCTGAAATTTTTGAAAATATATTTGAACTATTTGAATATAAACTCATCATTTCATTTTCAAAAACATACACAGCACTGCTAAAATTTGTAGAGGCTTATATTGTATCTTTTAAGGGTTTGATTATTTTGTTATAATTATAGATGCATCGTATTTACTGTGTTAAAAATGTACTTTTTAACTGTGTATCTCATTGGTTTATAGCACTTTATTATTCTTTGGAAAAAATAAAATATTTAAAAATTTACTCATGTTGTTTCTTCTTATACTGTTATAAAAATTATATTTTTCTTTAATTCTACCTTATTTTGAAAATTAACTATGCTCCTCTCTGGCCAGTAAAAAGGACTCTTATTTCCCAATGCCATTGCATTAGTTCAGCCTTTCCACTTACCCCTTCATAATACCAATAGCCTCTAGGCTCTTTAAAAACCACAGATGGGTAAGACTTCCTTACTTTAAATCCTCAACTGGCTTCCTGTGTCCTAGGCATAAAATAAAAGTTCAAAGCATAGCAAATTATGTTCCATCTCATCCTACTCCCAATTACTCCTTCAGCTTCACTCTTCCTTCCCATCTTGGCAGTCAAATGTTTAGTTCTTTCCTGAATCCATACCTTTGCATTTGCTAGGGCCTCTACCTGGAAATGGCTTTCTTCTTCTGCCTCTAGGAGGAAGCTTATTAATCCTTCTACACTCAGCTCAAACAATACTGCCTTCAAAAAGTTTTCCTTAACACTCCCAGCAGAATTCACGATTTCTATTTTGCTGTTTCCATAGCACCTTCTAGATGTTGGAATTTATTTGAATAGCAAATACTGCATTACTTTGAGTTGTTTAGAACTTTCATTACACTGCTCCACCAAGAGCTCTCTCAGGACACCAGCCATATTTTATTTCCATCTGCATCTCCCATGCCCGACAAAGACTAGCTTAATGAATTAGTAAATTATCCAGAACTTTAGGTTGTCAGTGTCCTAAAATTGATAACCTGGCTCAGGGTAAATGTTAAATGAATTACATTCTTTTACCCTCTTTTCTTCTTATTGTCTGTGAGTAATCCAACAAGATCTGTAGCACATGCAGCCCCCTCAGTCTTTAACACCTACCCCTCACTTCCACCTGGCTAACTCCCACCTTTTCTTTGAGGTCAATCTACCTGTCATTCAGGGCCTCTCTGACCATTACCCTTACCACTTTGATGATCTTTTTATATTCTATCATAAAACTTTGTTCTTTTACTTTATAATATTCTGTCACCATCATGACTATAGAGTCTATAGAGACTATAAATGTGTGGTCATTCATTTAGAGTCTATTCCAACCTCACTGTAAACGCCAACAGGTCAGAGACGCTGTTTACCGTGTTCATCTCAGTTCCTAGGACAGTGCCTAGCTCACAGTAGGTGCTTAAACAGATGCATGGTCTAAGGTAAGCAAGTACCACTGTCTTTTCAATGTTAAAATAAAATTTTTATGTAACTAGCTCATTTTTAGGAAAAGCACAGCCAAAATTGGGGAAATTTAGTCCAATTAGTGTGTTGATATATATATATGTATGTATGTATGCACATACACACACCAAATTAATATATTATATGTGCTTATCTTGGCATGTATTTGTATATATTAGTATATGCTGATATGTCATTAACATATCTGTATGTAACCTGCGATTCTACATCTTTTCATCTCATATATAAAATATCAATTAGATTAATATATTTTATTGTATGATTTATTAGCATATATATGATTTGTATTATATATATATGCATATATATATAATACAAAGAAAGAAAGAAACAGATAGAGAAATAAAAAGAAGAGGAAAACCTAGAATAGATACAAAGAGATGGGTTTGCTGACAATTTTTGCAGCAATACAGAAAGCATAAAACACCTAAAATTAAAAATATATATATATTGATGTTGGAAGATGGCGGCGGGCAGGACCAGAGGGAGGGTGAGTGTGTGAGAGAGAGAGCCAGTGTATGAGAGAGTGTGAGTGGATGTGAAGGTGGACAACAAAACCCCAGCAGTGCAGAGTCACGGAGCAGAAGGTTCCTGTGCTGTGGAAGGAGCAGCCCGCTACCGTGGTAAGCAGCCCTTCAGGGGCTTCTCCCTGCACCATGGGGAGGTCCCACCATTTTGGAAGATCTTGGGTCTTCCCTGGGAGGAGGCAGTGGGAGTGGCGAGGGCCCAGCAACCTGAACCCACCAGCGCACCTGGCACCATCGGACCAGTGGACACTGTGTCAACACAGACCAGTGCACAGTAGTGGAGCTCCCAAGGTGCTAGTCTCAGAAGCCGCAGACAGCATGGAGCCCAGCACCATCCCCCGTAGTAGCAGCCCAATAAGAGTCCAGATATACCCCCAGAAACAGAGGCTGGGGAGCAGACATCATTAAAATGTCCATACTACCCAAAGCAATCTATAAATTCAATGCAATCCCCATCAAAATACCAATGACATACTACACAGAACTAGAACAAATACTTCAGAATTTCATATGGAACCAGATTTCAGGTTATACTATAAAGCCACTGTAATCAAGACAGCAGCCTGGTACTGGCACAAGAACAGGCATATAGACCAGTGGACCCGAGGCAATATGCTCAATTAATATTTGACAAAGGTGGCAAGAGCATACAGTGGAGTAAAGACAGCCTCTTTAATAAATGGTGTTGGGAAAATTGGACAGGTACATGCAAAAAAAAAAAAAAAAAAAATGAAACTACACCATCAACTTACACCATACACAAAAAGAAACTCAAAATAGATAAAAGACTTAAATGAGACTTATGAATCCATAAAAATCCTAGAAGAAACTGTAGGCAACAAAATTTCAGACATCATATACAGCAGAATTTTCAATGATACATCACCTAAGGCAACAGAAACAAAGGAGAAAATGAACACATGGGACTACATCAAACTCAGAAGCTTCTGCACAGCAAAAGATACAATCATTAAAATGGAAAGACAACCCACTCTATGGGAGAGCATAATTGCCAATGATACATCAGATAAAGGGTTAATTTCCAATATGTATAGAGTGCTCATACAGCTCAACAAAAGGAGGACAAAGAACCCAATTAAAAAATGGGCAGAGGAACTAAATAGACACCTCTCCAAACAGGACATACAAATGGCTAAGAGACATATGAAGAAATGCTCAAGAGCACTAATCGTCAGAGAGATGCAAATTAAAACAACAGTAAGGTATCACCTCACACCTGTCAGAATGGCCGCCATCAATAAATCATCAAACAACAAGTGTTGACGAGAGTGTGGAGAAAAGGGGACTCTAGTATACTGCTGGTGGGAATATAGACTGGTGCAGCCACTGTGGAAAACAATATGGTTTTACCTCAAAAAGTTAAAAATTGAACATCCATTTGACACAGTGATCCCACTTCTAGAAATATCCTCTAAGAAGCTTGAAACACCAATCAGAAAGAATATATGTACCCCCATGTTTGTAGCAGCACTATTTACAATAGCTAAGAT